CCTGGTTCTGCTGGAGGTTTCTTTCTGTTAAAAGGGAGTTTCTCCTCTCCACTGTCGCTACAAGCATGCTTAGTGTGAGGGATTGCTGAAGAGTCAATGAGTCGATGCAATCAACTGTTTTTCCTTAAATTAATGAATTTGACTGTATGATCTGGTTGAACTGTAAAGTGCTTTGAGATGAAATGTGTTGTGAATTGGCACTAAGTAATAGAATAGAATAGAATAGATAGATGGATAGATAGATAGATGTATAGATAGATAGATGTTGTAGTATCTATAACAACCCAAACACACAGGATTTCAGAATTAGACATCCCCAGTTATTAATTTCATGCATTCACCAGATCTGAACATCCTGTTAAAAAACTTCACACCTATGAGTAGAGATAATGCAGCCTGATGAAATTTACACTGCATCAGATACCTAAACCCCATGTTAAGCAGGGGGAGCGGTATCCCCCCCGATGTCATTTACGTTGAGTTGCAATAAATGCTAAACTCTCTGCAGGTTCTTGTCTTTGTCGTCCGCTCTATTCAGCTGGCTTTTGAAACACACGGCGAGAAGGGGCCGGGTGGTGATGGTTACGGGGGCGAGAAACGCAAAAGTAATGCAATAGTTACTTTTACTAGTAACTAGTTACTTTTATTGTGGAGTAACTCATTTACTAACTCGGTTACTTTTTGGGAGAAGTAACAAGTAAAACTAATAACTTTTTCAAAGTAACGTGCCAAACACTGTTGTGGGGCACCCGGGGAGCGGTGTGCAGTTAAGGGTATTGCTCAGGGACCCAGAGTAGCAGTCTGTGTGGTTCAAACCAGGTACCTGCAAATTCAAAGAGCACAACTGCACTTTTCTTACACTAGGCCAACACTTCCCTAAACAAGGCGTCCTTGGGTGGGCTTGAACCGCTAACCTTTCAGTTAACAGCCAAACATGCTAACCGATTGCATCACAGAGACTAGGTAATTAATGTCCAGCTCTTACGTTTGCGGCTTTGTCATAGACAGTTGGCATCGATTCACTCTTTGATTCAAGGTTTATGGAGAAGCATGCTTTGTTAGCACCCATGTTTTGAAATCAATCCTCTTTCAAATTCTCAGCACACAGATGCAAAACCTCTAGAAGTTGTGCAGTTAGATTTCCTTCAAAATTAAAATCAATCCAGAGACTTCAAGGGCTCAGATGGAGGCAGTAAAGAGACGATGCAGCCATTAACAGAGCTGCCGCAGTGTTTGGCTCTTAACTTAGCCCATGTCTGTTTGAATGCTCAATGTCGGTAAGCAGAGCGCTGGTAGAGGGAGGGCTCAGATAGCCGGGGGGAGTAGTTATTTCCCCACATTACCTCATTAAGGGCATGATTTTCACCAGAGCTTTTATAGCACGCATGAATTAAGAGGTGGTGCAAGGCAGTGAGAGAGGAGAATGATTTTATTTTATTTATTTGTGTACCTCATGTACAGGCTTCAGGACACATACGATGTACAAATCGTTTATAAAGTGAACTCTGGATAACACGGGACCTTTAAGTTCTTAGGAAAACTTACAACATATTTAGGCTA